TTTCTGCTGCGCTATTCCTCCATGGCATCTCTTGACTCACTGCCATTCTACCCTCTTGGCTAGATAGTGCCCATGCTTCTTGCTTCTGGCATGGTCCTGTGGGCTTCACTTCTGCCTCTCACCTCTGCCTCCTCCTCCCCACACCCTGGCTCTCTTGCAGAACCTGCAAGCCCTTTCCAGAGCTCAGATGCAAAGTGCAAGTGTTCTGGTTTCCTAGCCACAAAACTGCTTGCTTTGCTGCATGGTTGGTCATCTTCTGTGTGATGCACATGAAGCAATTCCTGCTTCAGAACGCTGTTTAGAAACAGAACCCGTAAACATTATATTGAAGATGTGCTGAGGCTATCTTGTACCTTCCAGAGTCTGTAAGAAAGCATGGTGAGAGCTTTGGACCCAATATTTGGAGATGCTGAGCAGCCTGAGCTTTTACAAGCATCAGAAGACCTGCTGTCAGCAGCTCCCAGGGAGCCCTGCATTACCCAGGAGCATGGGGGAGACCTGCTATGGCTTCAGTGTGAGGGGCATGGACAAGCCTCTTTGCCAGCACCCCTGTCCTTGTCTCTGCATCCTGACTCCCTGCTCTCTCAAGCCATGCCTACAGCACCACATTTTCCTTGCTTGGCTAAGCTGCCCTGGTGTGTTTAGTCATGGGTTTTGTGTGTGGCTTCTGGGCACTGATAACAAGCTACTGCTGGATTCAGTTGATATTCCCTTGTCTCTCTTGTCTCTCAGAGCTACAGATCCCTCTACCATCCCAAATCAGTACAACTCAGTCCTCTCAGTTCCATCTTATCATCAGAGCAAGGCCTGAAAAGCTCCAAAGTGAGCATGTGAATGAAGTGGGTTATTCTGGGAGTTGCTTCCAGAGGAAGAAGTAATCTATGATGATCCCACAAAACTCAGGAAATAAAGGTCACATCTATCTTTGAACCCCAAGAGCCAGGCTTCTGTCTACCTGCAGTTTTATCTGGAAGATGGAGAGAGGCAGGAGCACCTCCAGCACCCCTTCCTGTAGCAACTCTGACTCCATTATGTACTCCAGGTCAACTGTATGAAGCGATCATACTCACAGGGCAGAGCTCCACAGCATTGCTCCTCTCCTAGACCTCACTGCAGATAGATCCAGCTCTGCTGCCCAAATCCTGACACTGGGATTAACCTAAAAGACCAGATTAGACATCTTGAGTTCTTGTAAATCTCTGCTGAAGAGCATGTGTCCTGTGCCTGCCTCTGATAAGATGCTGGCTGGAGGCCCCTCACCCTATGGATTGGCTCCTCTGGTCTCTGGCTAGGCTGGTCCACATGAGAAGCCTGAGAGGGAGTGGAAAGGAGGAAGGCTGCCAGGTACAGCCTTCCAGGGTAGGCTGAGCAGGAAGGCGATCAAGTTTCCTAAGCAACGTAATAGATGACAAGGTGTATATTTATACCAGGTACCCACATACTTTGTGTGAATTGTGCAACATGAGATTTGTCATCATGCATCAGATCACTGGTGTATCCAATCCAATACCATGGCTCTGACAATGTCAGGAGAGCTGAGCTGCCTGCAGTGGTGTACCGCACCAACTGTGCAATGCAGGAACAGAGTATCTGGGATTAAAATTCCTCCCCAGTTCCTCCAGCAATCAACTGGTATCCTGACTGTTCTTATTATCTGAGCAGGCAAAGCTGTGAATGCAAATAATCACAAGATTAGGCAGCTGTCTAAAGACAACTAATACAAGTGCAGCATACATTTCTAGGCTGGCCTCTGGGCTGGATATGCTTTGAGTGGGATGATATTTCATTCTGATTTCATTTTACTTTCCTCTATTAAATGATTCTTGGGCTAAGTGTACCCTGAATGCCAGCAGTGGACATTTACTCTAGTGCTGAAGTGACCCATAATCTTTCTCACCACATGATCTTTTATGCCTCTCATCATCTCTCCTTTCCTTCCCATTTGGTTTTTGCTGTTGATAGTGGTGGTTTATTTTTCTCCATCTTCTTTGCTGCAAGGAAATCAAGCCATTCTTCTGCTCTGGGTGTGCTGGCAGGCAGCTTCATTCTGTAATGGTGCTGTTGCCTTTTTGTTTGCAGTGCTGTCATCACCCCTTGATCAGCCCAGAGGTCAGTTAATCTGCTTGGCTAGTTTTGGCTTCTGCCATTCACAGAGCTCTGCCCTGAGCTGTCTGCAGAGGCTTTTGCAACACTCCCCTGAACATGTGCAGATGATTTCAAACCTGTTAATGTGAGCATTTACTGGACTGCTTCTTCCCAGCCTACATAGCATGACCCTCTAGTTAAAGCAAGAGTGTTTCTTGTCCTTTTGGCTGTCCCATATTTTTAGCTCTTCCTGCAGCTCTCTGCTCTCCTTACTTTACAGTGAGTACAGAAATAGCTTTTACCCATTCCTCCTGAGTATGGCTCATAAGATGGTCTGTGCTGGCCATGCTCTCTTATACTGAGCACCTCCTGTTTGGAGAACTTCCCTTTATCTTCACTCCTTAGCAGCTCTCAGAAAAGTTTGGTCTTGCAGTTCTGTCTTCCACATATGGCCTCTGCTGGTGTGATTTTAGTCAGCGTTAGCATATGGTCCATTTATCTGGTCTGGCTGATTTAAATGCCTTGAATTAGCCAGTTGCTTGTCTATGGAGAATCCTCTCCTTGCATTGTGACCTGCAGAAAGAGGATCATGGAGGAGGAATCCTTTCTTTGCTCTGCGGTGGAGCCTCAGGCATGGGAATTGTTTTGTTTCTCCCCCTCTGTGCTGGTTTGGTTTGGTGGAGTTTTTGGTACTGGGGGAAGGGCCCCACAAGTGGCTCCGGTAAGAAGCTGAGATGCTCCTCCAGCTCCAAAACCAGCCAAGTAGACATTAAAGAGAAAATAGGCACACCTCTGTGATTCACGTATACGAAAGAATTGAGCAGAGGAAACAGTAGATAAAGAGCTGAGCTGGAAAGGCAGAGCAGTGCTGGTGGTTGGTGAGGAAGAAGGGGAGGAAAGTGCCCAAGCAGAAGTTTCCCTGCAACCCATGGTGAGATGGCAGCTGTCCCCCTGCACTCATGGACAAACATAGTGGAACATTCCCTGAAGGCACCAGGAGGGGTGTTCTTGGATTTGCTGCCACTGGACTCCAATTATGCAGCTGTGGAAGACCCTGGCGCCAGAGGAGGTGGCTGTTCCCAAAGCACCCATGACTCTGTGGGAAGCCCAGGCTGGAGCAGCTCCAGACCTTGTGGGAAGGACTCAGGAACGAGGGGTTCATGGAGGACTCTCTCCCATGGGACGGACCCCGTGGGGAAGCAGGGAAGGTCTGTAAGGAATCCTTCTTCCTGAGGAAGAAGGAGCAGCAGGAACCAGCAGCCTGTGAACTGACTCCAAACCCCATCCCCTGTCCCCCTGTGCTGCTGGGGGGAAGGAGGGAGAGAAATCAGGAACAAAAAAACACTAAAGCATAACTCTTTATAATAAAGGGAATCAGATTTTATTTTTATACCCTCAAAGTTAAAAATATGCGTTTCAAAATATTTACAATGACTATATATGAAATAACCTTTGTTAATGAAACAGCAACATACAGTACTAGAATATAACCACCAAAATTACAAAGTCTACTTAAGAAAATGTAACAGAAAGAAAGAGAAAGAGAGAGAGAGAGGTAAGTAGCATCCATGCACAATCCACACCTGCATGGTTTTTCATATTCTCTGCCTTTTAGTTGTGGATGGAGTCAGAGGATATTTTGACCTCTTGTCCCTTATAAATGCTACTTGTGACTGTGATTCTTCAATTTGACAGATATGTTTAGGTTGCAGTAGTACCAATGTCTTACTTTCCCATGCTAACCTTTTACATGGGGACCTTATATTACAGAGTAGACTCAAAATCTCTCAGCAACCCTGGGAGGTAGGTATAGTTTTCTGAAATAATTTGGCACCAGATTAAGTGCCCGGCCTAAGGTTGTGCAGCAAGGAGCAGAACTCGTATGCTCTGCCTCATCTTTGCAAATCTCTCAACAGGGAACACATTTCCTCTGCTAACCAGTGTCATTTGCCTTTGAGATGAGCTGCGTCACAAAGTGGGGCTCTCAATTAATACCATGTCTTGGGTGACAATGTGGGAAAATCAAAACCCTGCCTAAAGATGAGGACTTGTCTCTATAAATATCTGCGATGTTACAGTGCTATTATCATGTTCTGAAGCTGAACAAAAGATTTTAGTGTAGACACACAACCAGATTATTCCCTCCCTGCATATGCATCATTGAGCAACTGCATCCTCTGTAATTAGGAACCCCTGTGTATCTTCATCCCCACACTTCCTCTTTCTCTATCTCTCTCTCTCCCTCCATCATACCTGGATATTTGCCCTTCCTACCTGAATCTTATTCAACTGTGGGAATGTCAAATAGTAAACAGAACAGCAACAAAAATTGCTGCCTTATTTCTATAGATATTTTTAATATTAATTTAGTCTGATTTCTATTGGGTTGCTTCTCAATTTAATGTCTTTAACTTCCACATATGTGCATATATATATATATATATATAAAATGTAACAAAAGGCCCATCCCATTTGTCTGAATGGACAAAAAAAGGAGTCAAAAGTCTCACTGCCCAACCCAGAAGGCACACCGAAAGGTAAGTGAGAAGGGCTCTAGGAAGGGAAAAAGATTTAGCCCTTTTTTTTCTGGTGCTCTTCAATCATCACTGCTGAGCTTGAAGCTATGTGAAGGTATGACATAACTTTGCAGGAAAGGAGAACAAGAAGTCTGGGTCACCTGTAGATTTATGGTGCAACAGCCCCAGGAGCTGCTAGATCAGTTGGAGCTGTATCTCCCTGTCTTTGATGAAGCAGCTTCTTAGTATTCTAGCTTTGTTAGTGATTTTTCTGTGGTGGTGGCAGTGGTGATCATGATGGGTGTTTCCATCATTTCCTATTGGCCCAACAGTTCTCTCAGTAGAGCAATTCTTCCCCATTCCCAGTAGCCAACCCTCTCCCCTGGACACCCATCAGCCTTATTTTTTCCTAAGAACAAGGTAGAGGATGCCAATGATGAAACTGAAGCAAAAGCAGATCCAGGCCAATATGAAGCAGTAGCCATGGTGAGTAGTTGTGGACATGGGTATCTTGCCTGTGAAACGAGCTGTGTAAATGGAGGCTCCAATCAGAATGCACATCCCTGTGGGAAGAAAGGTGAAAAGAGAGTTGAAGAACACACAGAAACCAGCACTGCTGGAGGGCTTCTAAAGTACCATTGTCCCCTGAGATAGTAATACATGACTTGTGCCATATGAGAGGGGGGCTGCTGCTCATTAGGCTCATTCACAGAGTATTTCTCTTGCAGACATGATGCCATAAGGCACTCGGGGCTTGTTTAGTGGGTGTCGTGGGGAATAAACCGTTGTTGGAACACAATCAGAAATAAGATTTGTTGACAGTTTGGTGCTACGTGTTGAATCCCATGAGCAGTAGCTGTCAAACTGTTTGTTTCCCTGCCCCCCAAAATACTTGAATCCTTTTTGCTGTCTTTCAGAGGTATTTTGCGAAACCTGCTGGTATTTTCTAATGAAAAATCTGGAAATATTTTCATTATATGCAGTGAAAAAACCAAACTTTCCAATTCCTCAATGCTTTGTCTTCTAAAAAAAAAATGGGCCACTTGAAACTTTTAGCTGCCTGACAACTTCTCCTAATGGCCCTATGAGGCAGACATGTGGCTATTTGCACTTGTAGAAGCAGTGGGATGCATGTAGAGGTGGTTGGACACATGCAGAGCCACCACCAGGTGTGCATACTTACAGCAAACCAGCATGATGACTCCAGTGATGTAGAAACGTTTGCCTTTCTCCAGAGTGAACAGCTGGACAATGAACATGACAAGCGCAATGACGGAGAAGATGATCGAGAGGATCATAAAGGCTTGCACGGCTTTAAGGGAAGCTGTGAACACACAGGGAATAGATTTGAGAAGGTCAGGACTCAGTCTCGGTATTATTGTGCACAAACATCCTGTAATCTATTGCCACCATGAAAATGCAGATGTAACTTACCCTCATCATCACTCCTGACTAACAGGTCCACGCAGGTGTTGTTGCAAAATAGCCAAAGTCCCGATGAGGCCGTTCCAAAGCTGGAAGAGCCCACCATCCAAACCTGAAACAGGGTGAAAGAAAGAGTCATGTCATGGTGAGGGCTGCCTTGCTCTTCTGGCTACTTGTCAGACTAAAACTGTGAGGGAAGCAACAGTAGCTCGAGTGCCACGAGACAGGGAGCTGAAAAAGTCAGCACATGTGGGCAGCAGATGAACAGCCAGAGTGAGTGGGAGATGATGTAGGCTTCTTAAACCCAGAGGCATTTTGTCCAGGTGAAACACTGGAAAAGTTTGTTCCCATGATAGAGGGGAAATAATCACAGAATCGTTTAGGTTGGAAAAGAGCAGGAAGATCATTGTGTCCCACTGTAAACCTTAACAGTGCGAAGTCCCACTAAACCATGTCCCTAAGTGTCACAGCTACATGATATGACGGTGGCTAAACTTGACATTATTTACCCTGAAACACACCAAACCCTTGTGCTACAGGTCATTAAATCAGCCAGCTCCCCTCTCAAATGTGGCTGCATAGGAAAGTTACTCCTGAGTTACTGAGCTAATTCAGAAGAGTGAATCATGGTATGATACAAACTAATTCTGAAGCTGGTGTCCCAAAAAGGGAGAGCTCCTGATTTGTCTGTTGAATAGATCAGAAAATCAAGTTAGAGAAACTGAAATTGCTTCGACCATCCTCTCTCTCTCCCTGTCCCAGGCAGCAAGAGGGCACACCAAGGCAAGCAAACTACCCAGGAGGCTGTGAGGGGACCCCAAAATCCACCCCAGTGGGGTGAGGGACACAGGGATACCCCAGCTGTGCCACACCCCATACCTTCAGGGATGATGACTCAATCACTTCTCTGGGCAGCCTGTTCCAGTGCCTGACAACCTTTTAAATGAAGAACTATTTCCTAATAGCCATTTTAAACCTCCCTTGGCACAACCTGAGGCCATATCCTCTTGTTCTATTGCTTGTTACTTTAGAGAAGAGACCAACACCCACCTCCCTCACCTATAGGCCTAAGCACCCCTCTACCTATCCCTCTGCCAGCCACATAAAGGGTGAGCTACTGCTGTAGGAGGCAACAACCATATTTCATCTAGGGTGGTCTCTACTTACATTGGAAATGGTGGCAACAAAGAGCATGATGACAGTGGCGATGTGAACCACAAAGATACCAGCCAGCAGCACCAACATCTTGGGTTTCTTGCAAATGGCGTCACTGATACAAAGAGCTGTGGAGAACAAGAACAGAAGGAGGTGAAGGGAAGGGCTGAATGAAAGAATAGCATTACTGTAATCTTTATTTATGTGCAAGAAAACAGGTTGATCTAAAATCAATTTTGGAAGCATGTAGTCACAAAGAAAACACCTCTAAAACCTTTGTCAAAATCTGAAAGGGAGTTGCTCAAGAGGTTAAAGAAAGCCTGAAAGTAAAGGAACCAGTTTGGGAGGAGATGTAGAGCAGGGGTAGTCAGCTTGGGGGCATTTTAAAAATAGTCTGAGTATATACACATGTTGCTTAAATTGGTGTGTGGTTATGTACAGTAAAAATGACGTACTCCAGACTTACAATCCAGGAAGAGGAGCTTTTGCCCACAGGATTCACAGAGGTCTGGAAAGATTTTTCTCTCCCAGTTCTCCCTTTCACTCAAGTGGCACAGCCTCCTCCAGCTGGTCTGGGACATGGAGAGGCAGACTGTGTGTTCCTGGGTGCATGAGGTGTAGATCAGTGGTGAAGAGTGGACTGAGGGGCAGCCCCTACTCAAAGGTCCACTCCATTACGTGAAGAGGAGAATAACCAGAACAGAAACATCACTGAGATGTTCTGGGGCAGAAGAAGATGCTTAGGTTTGCAATGAAAACTGCCTGTTTCCCTTCTAAAACTTGAGGCATGCAGATCACTGCAGATTACTGCAGTAAGATTCTCTTGTAATACAAACTCCTCTTTGGTTTGTTTTGGGTTTGTTTTTCTTTTGCCTCTGTACTCTGCAAGCTTTTGCTTTTTGTAAAATTCCCTGTCATTCATGAAGGAAAGGGAATGTGCTTTAGATAGCTCTCATGACACTGTTCATCAAGGCTGCTGACTTCTTCCAAAAACACTAAATATAAGGGAAAAAAAATCTAAGCTGCAAGAGCGAGTGCAGACAATTCATACAAAGTGAGTGAGCATATTTCCCCTCCTTCCAGGCATTTCTTAGTAACAGTCAGAGAAATCATGTAGAAGATTTTACTCTGTCCACTCTGTGGCCAGTGAAAGACTGATTCCTAGAAAGTTCTGCAGAGCTGTGTTACTCTTTCAAAAAAAAACTTTCCCTTTTGTAGTGCTAGTGTGAAGAGCTGTTATCAAGCATGTGATTAAAGTTGGCTGTCAAGTTATTTTGGTCCAGGTGACTCAGGTAAGGTTTGATGCTGTCACCCTTTGTACAGGGTGTGGTAACATTGTCATGGAACAATGCAATTATACTTTATTATGTCTTTCATACAAATTGTAACAAAAGGCTTTGTAAAGTCCCATGAATATGTTTTGGTTTTTTTACTCAATGACTTCACCTTCTCCACTCCTGTCTTTTTGTGGTGCAGCATGGGAGTGTATTTCTGTAAAATGCTGCAGCTACTTCTTACATTGTTTGGATACAGTTTCCCAAACCACAGAAGACAGGCAGGCTTCTCCATCAGTGGCTCTTTGTCCAGTTCAACATTAGCTGATAACCAGGAGGAATTCCTTGATTTCAGGATCTCAAGGAACCAGCACTGTTAGGTCACTCCTCCCAGCCAACTGAAGCTGCTCCTTAGAAGGACAGATCAGGTCCTATCTCCTCAACACGAACTTGTCTGCTGTAAAGTTTCCTTCACCTGGGAGAACTTTCTGGAGCTATTTAGGCCTGGCTTATTGAACATGTGCTGGGCTTGCTTCTCTGCTTTGGGATGTCCTAGCAAACGTCTCATGCTCTATGGCTTGATTTGTCTGGATGGCCTGGTCACTGTGGCCTTCTCTTGTCACAGCACCTCCCTTAGTAATGATCTGCTGGAGAAAGTACAGCTTTCTTACAAGTTATTCCCTGATTGTAGTGATAGTCATTTATGGGTTCAGCACTGCTAAAATCCAGGTTCTCAATATTTCATGCAGGCTACCACATGAACACACCTGACCTAAGCATTAAACCTCTTGTTCCATTGATTGCAAAAGGAATGAAGGTTTCAAATACTGGATGGCAACAGATATGGGAACTGAGACCCTACTGTTGTTGCCACGACTAAGTCTTCTGCCTTCAGCAGGTGCCTTGAATAGAGCCTCCAAGTCACATCTTCCCATCCCTTTGATTATTTGTCATCCTTTTTCTGATTACCTTGGTTATTGCACAAACTGTAATGAGTGTTCGTGTCACCATAGCGTATCGGTGTGCATGTACCAAATTGTGCCAGATTTGCCTGCTCTAAAATTTGCCTTTTTGGAACAGTGGCTACACTTTTTTCTTTCTTAGATGGCCATATTTTTCTATCATCTTTTTAAAAACTAATTCAGCAGGTTTTTTGCCCATTATTTTGCTTCAAAAAAGCCTTGTACTTGAAAGACTAAAAATCTACTTTCATGACAGCCCAAAGGACTAGAACAGTCCTTTTAAATGCATCTTCTGTTTGCATTCAGAAATTAAAATGAAGGATAAATTTTACTTTTCAATGTAAAAAAACCCAACAAAACACGCACACAAACCCCAAACAAAAAGCAGCAAAAAAGACCACGCACATGCAGAACTTCAACCAGTGCACTAAGAAAACCCTCAAATCCTTTATTCCCTTTGCTTTTTCTGCCCCATTCTTGCACTGCTTGAGAGCACTGTTAGTTCAGGTGCTTTCAGTGCAGCTGCTTCCTGAGGACGTCAGAACTTCTCCCTGAATACACATGCTATCAAATGCAAACTCCCCTGGGGATACGTGCTCACCAGCTTAGTTTTGATTCTTTGTCACTTAAAGCAAAAGCCTCCTTCTCTATTCATTCTCCTTCCCCTTCCTTCATCTCTCACTGCCTTTTAAATAAAACACTAGAGAACAAGCCTAAAGAAGCAGCAGGTGAACGAATGGCATTGAAATAGAGTCATCTTTGTGTCTGATTATATGGCATAGACTTTTCCTCCTAATAGATGGAGAAGCTGGTGGAGCAGTGGTGACTGATACACTCTTT